TTTGTTTGTTCCCTGAACACAAAAGGTGATTTCGGTCGAGTTTGTGCTGCTGGTTTCTGTTCATACAATATCAGTCGATAGAGCCTGACTTTCAGAAGCTTCGTCACATTATTTGATGATGCTTTTGAGGCAAGTTTATTTATATAGCTCATCTCATACACAATGGCAATTCAAAGTGCTTTACATAAAAAGGAAAGAAAATATTTCAAAAAAAATAATCACAACAATAAAAGCAAGGAATTAAAATTTAAAATGGATTTAAAATGAATTAAAACAGTTAACCCTCGAGCATCATTTGTATAGCAGCCCTTCATTTGTCAAATTTGGGCACGAAGGTCTCCGCTGTGATCCCGGTTTTTGCTTTTAAATAAATGTCACATCACTGTCTTCGATAAAATAAAAACGATCAATTTATGCAGTTTTTGTTATTTTTGGTGTTTTTTTATTTACCTCTAAAAGTACCATATTTTTTTAAAATGTAAAATATGCTTATTTTTATGTTATATTTAATATTTCTTATACTTTAGGGGGAAAAATCATTCCAGTAAGTTCAGACAGCCAAAACCAAAATTTTTGGTGAGTTTGGTGACATCTGATGGTATAAAAATATCAAAAATATCAATATCCACTATATGGCTGTAGTACTCAATGGCTGCATATAGGCTCAAATCTATAAACCATTGTTGTAACGAACGTAACCTCTTACATTTGAGATTTTATCGCAAGTTAAAAGTGTAGAATTGAAAAAAAAAAACATTTGTCTTGGGTGAGACTGTACAAAGATGCCAAAATATGCTTACAGACAAATCTGACCACTAACTCAAAAAAGGAACCAAATGATGCCATACAGGTAAGAATAAACAATAAACCTAGCAAGTAGCATGTTTCAGATTTTGTTTTTTTTACATTTTCATCAAGAAATCTTGCAGTAGGATTTTGATCTGACTTTGAAGCATGTATGTGTGTGTGTGTGTGTGTGTGTGTGTGTGTGTGTGCACAGTGGCTGAGTGGCACAAAAAAAGCTCAGTCATTGGCTCATTCAATTCTTTGGTTTTGTATGTGTGTGACTGTTTTTATTCGACAAAATAAAAAATAAAAAATAAAAAACTTGCTGTGTTATAGGCTCGTTCAATGCTTTTTCAAACCGGGACCACGGCCCTGGACACAAAGATAGATGGAAAGTGTGCGTGTATGTACAATATCAATCTGATATCAGTTTAATGAAAATACTAAAGGTCTGAAGCAGCAATAATACTAACAAAACTTTCTTATAGCAACCTGTGACTGCCAATGGTCTGAATATAAATGTAGATGCTTCCGCTTTTTTACATGCCAGACTTCCTGGATTGATGCAGAGGTACGAGACGCCATCTTATCATGATTCCTTCATCTTTAAGACTTGAAATTCTGAATGAGTTAACAATAGTTTTTATGTCCTACTCTCTTTAGAAACAGTGTTTGGACTACAACGGGAACCTGGCCTCTGTACACACTCATGCGGAGTACACCTTCATACAGAACCTGATTAAATCTCAAACTCAAGCTTCAACTGAGGCCTGGATAGGAGGCTATGGCTCTGTTTCAGTATGTTTGTTTTAAATCATTATTATTATTATTTAAAAAAATACATTTGTTCAGTGTCTTTGTCAACGGTCTTTTTCTTTATTTTGTATATTGTACTTGTTTTTGAGTTGTTATGTCATAGTATTAAAGAAAGATTAGGATACAGCTAATACGTTTGTCATGTTAGTTCTACTGGGCAGTTTCTATAGAGAAACACAAACATGTTTTAGAGGCATAAACATTACATTTTCATTTACATTTAGTCATTTAGCAGATGCTTTTATCCAAAGCGGATTCTTTTTTTAAAAGAAAACAAGCAGTTAGTAAATGAATAGAGTGCAAGTCTAAAAGAGGCAAGTATTTTTTTAAAGAATAGAATTAGAATAGAGAGTGCTGGAGTATCAGCGCGGCTGAAACACTGATTGAGAGATTACATGAGACAGGATACGGATTGTAAAGTTGTACTCTTTCTTTTAACTTACCTTCGGATGTTTAGTCATGTTTATTTTGTGCTATAATTAGTAATAAAGCGGAGGAGATGATCATTTCACGTCGCTACAGCGATCTGTCACTCCACATTAAACAGCGCCAAAACAGCATTTATTGTTTGAATACTGCAATACAATGGACAGAATTTGAAATCTGAGACTTCATATTAAAAGTACCAAAGCACAATGCTTATTGCGATATATTAGATGGGAAGTACCCTTCAACGTTCCGTCCATTAACCAGAAAACTTAAAAATGGCATGTCATGCCAAAAAGGTTGCCGACCCCTGCTCATGTGTACCACATCCAGTTCTCAAAAGTCTTATAAACAAATGTTCTGTATGTGTTTCATGGCCTTATTTCACAATGGCAATTCAAAGAGCTTTACATAAAAAGGAAAGAAAATATTTCAAAAAAAATAATCACAACAATAAAAGCAAGGAATTAAAATTTTAAATGGATTTAAAATGTATTAAAACAGTTAACCCTCGAGCATCATTTGTATAGCAGCCCTTAATTTGTCAAATTTGGGCACGAAGGTCTCCGCTGTGATCCCGGTTTTTACTTTTAAATAAGTCACATCACTGTCTTCGATAAAATAAAAACGATCAATTTATGCAGTTTTTGTTATTTTTGGTGTTTTTTTATTTACCTCTAAAAGTACCATATTTTTTTAAAATGTAAAATATGCTTATTTTTATGTTATATTTAATATTTCTTATACTTTAGGGGGAAAAATCATTCCAGTAAGTTCAGACAGCCAAAACCTAAATTTTTGGTGAGTTTGGTGACATCTGATGGTATAAAAATATCAAAAATATCAATATCCACTATATGGCTGTAGTACTCAATGGCTGCATATAGGCTCAAATCTATAAACCATTGTTGTAACGAACGTAACCTCTTACATTTGAGATTTTATCGCAAGTTAAAAGTGTAGAATTGAAAAAAAAAAACATTTGTCTTGGGTGAGACTGTACAAAGATGCCAAAATATGCTTACAGACAAATCTGACCACTAACTCAAAAAAGGAACCAAATGATGCCATACAGGTAAGAATAAACAATAAACCTAGCAAGTAGCATGTTTCAGATTTTGTTTTTTTTACATTTTCATCAAGAAATCTTGCAGTAGGATTTTGATCTGACTTTGAAGCATGTATGTGTGTGTGTGTGTGTGTGTGTGTGTGTGTGTGTGTGTGTGTGTGTGTGTGTGTGTGTATGGGATAGGGTATGTGGCAGGGGTGTCCGGCCCGTAGGTGAATTTCAAACGTCCCATAGCTTGTCTAATAAATAATACATGGCCCGCTAAGAATAATTTACAAAATATGCAGTTTCACAATGTTAACACAAGATGACATCACTAAATTTTAGACCAGATGTAACTGTAAAATGCGAGTGATAATTTAATAACTCGTATGCACTGTAATTTCTTTCACGCACGAGAATTCCTAAACGTGCCAAAAGCGGAACGGCACGACTCGTTTGAACCATGCTGCTTGGACTGTTATTAGCTCTGCCTAAAGACAGCACCGCGTGAGCTCAGTACAAGTGTGTTAACTAAATGACTGATCTTGATGAAGCGACCACTAAACAGCACTGTGAGATTCCATGAAAAGAGTTTGCATTTGGAGCAGGGGTCTCCAATACAAACCACAGATGTTGCAGAGTGATTTAAACGAGTTTAAAGGCAGATGAAATGGCACTGACATTCTCGACAACACTGACACGGAAAACAGGAGAAACACTGTGTGACAACAATGCAGTTAGAATACTCTTCAATCCACAAATCAACAAAAAATAAGAAATCAGGAAGGGGGCCAACACTTTTTCACACCACTGTATATGCTGAGCTTCAGTTCAGTTTTGTGACATGCTAAATTTGTTCACAGAAAGGAAACTGTCATGGTTCACACACACGAGGAACACGGGAACGAAGGAGCGAGGAGACACGGAGTAAAGTAACTCAAAAGAGTTTATTAAACAAAGGCTGGGGTTCACAGGACTCGACACATCAGGAGGACAGGATGCCGTTTAATGACTGACAAAAGACAAGAACTAGAACACACTTTAAATACACAGGAGCTGATGAGGGGAAGACAAGGGACACCTGGAACTAATGACAATTAACATTGGAAACACCTGGGAACAATGAATTCAAAACACGAGACAGAGAAACTAGATGACGGAGCACATAGGGAGCAAAGACACACACAAAACCTGGCCCAGAGTCTGACATTACTCCCCCCTCCCAGAAGGCGTGTCCTCACGCCACCAAAACATCCAATGGGGAGGGGGGGTGGATGCTCTGGAGACCTCTAGGAGTAGGGTTACCAGACGGGAGGCCTCCAGAGCGGGGCACCATGGTGGATCTGTCAGCTCTGGGCGCCAAGGCAGAAGAGGGACCACAGGAGGACATGGCGGAGTAGGGAACACAGGAGGCCAAGGCGGAAGAGGGAACACAGGAGGCCATTGCGGCGTAGGGAACACAGGAGGACATGGTGGTGCAGGCAGTTCCGGAGGTCATAGCGGAGCAGCCTACGAGGCCGCGGCCTTAGCCCCGCCTCGGCCTCTATGGCTGGAGCCCTACTACCCCCCCCCAAAAAAATACTTGGGGATGTTTACAGGTTCCGAGGCCTTCCGTGGGCCATGACAGGGGACTAGAGCCCACTTACTTGTGGACCTGTAGCCCTCCCTGGGTGGAACTGGGGATCGGGAGCCCTGCCTGGGCGGAACTGGGGATCGGGAGCCCTTCCTGGGCTGAACTGGGGATCGGGAGCCCTTCCTAGGCTCTGTGGGGGATCTGAAGCCCTTCCTGGGCGGAACTGGGGGTTGGGAGCCCTTCCTGGGCTGAACTGGGGATCGGGAGCCCTTCCTGGGCTGAACTGGGGATCGGGAGCCCTTCCTGGGCT